AAGCCTCGAAAGTGGCTGCAGTTGGAGACGTCAGAGAGGAGGTGTCAGATTTGTCAGCACCTGTGCTATCTTTCCATGGTGGGTACAGTCCTTTGCCACTCCTGGGGTACTGTCCCCCTGCTCTAGCATTCCAGGGATCTATAGGCATTTGTGGCCACTGAACCATGTCTTGCACTCCACGCAAGACACAGAGGTGATGATGTGGCATTTACTGCCTTGGCCAGTGGTGACAGAAGACAGCAGTGACAGCTGGCTTCTCACCCTGCCAGAAGGGATGAAGCAGTGCCCTCAGACACCTAAGAGATGTTTGCACTGCACTAGGAGGGCTAACAAAGACACCTGCAGGTTGCCAGCAGCAGTAGGTTGTGACGGAGCAGGTCTCAGGATGAGCCACAGCTCAGACACGTGCCATGAGCCTCAGGCACGCAGCCACAGCCCATGCTGAGACAATGTCCCTGCAAGCCAAATTGCAGGGGAGATGTATCCCATCCATCAAGCTGTTTGCCAGCCTGTCCAAAAATAGCCCAAAAATAGACTTCTCTCTTTTAAGAGGGAAATGCCTACTGGCTTTTGAAGGTGTGCTGACCACTGTGGTGACAATTCCAGGCTTAGAGCTGCATGCAGAACACCTACAAACACAGCAATGTCATTAAAAATACCAGAAGCCCCTCCCACAACCTTATATACCATTTTAATCCTAAGAACAGGTATTCAAATAAACATAATGCAATGCATGTGGGTCCATATTTAGTCCTTTGGGTCTGGGACGTTTTTTCTCTGTCATCTTTTGGGAATTGTTTTGGTTATAGATGTTTGGTTTTTAATGGAAATGAAATGTATCTGTATATAATCAGATGTAGCTGTTCCCTCCCCTAGGATAACATATGCTGAGTTTATACATGTTTTTAGACCACTTTTTAAGCAGCATTAGTTTGAAGTAACTTTAAAATGAGTTTATTTGAAAAAAACCCAAAATACTAACCAGAACTTCTTAATGGATCTTCTGGTGCATTTGCTCTGGAGTAAGTTTAACAATAGGAAGGATTTTTCCATGTCACTCTTTAACAGTCGTTGTGGATAAAAAAACTCCCAACTTGGTTGTTAAATTCCAAGCTGAGCGTGCAGGCCTGGCAGGCAGCCAGCTGAGCAAATGTCACCATTGCTGAACAAGACAGTAGTTGAGGAATCCTGTGGCTAAGCTGATTATATCCTTGTTCAAGGCAGCATTTTAAGCAATGGGAAACTACTCCTTTCAGGAGATCTTTAGGACTGCATAGGATCTGCTAATAAATGCATATACTGTTTGGATTTAGCCCTCATTAATATTGGTGGAGGGTTTTTTAAAATGATAGATATATTTGTCAACATTAGCATTGTAAAAGAGATAGATTCTTTCTAGCTATTGCACATCCTGAATGATTTCACAGTGTGCTTTACACCTCCTTCCACCTTGCAGTAAAATCCAGGGGTAGTAATTCAGGCCATAACTGAATACTGTGTGGAGAACACAGGTACAGTTTGGAGTGTAACCGCACTTCTTCCCCCCACCTCTGCTCTTTGATGTAGGTTGTACAGGAGAATGAAAATGTTGTCTTCTGCTTGGAGTGTGCCCTGCGGCACGTGGAGAAGCAAAAGTCGTGCCGGGGGCTGAAGATGATGTACCGCTACGATGAGGTGAGCTGACACTGCTCTGGGGAGGACACTTCACTCTGCCTTTGTCCTGCTGAGGACTCAGCAAAATGGTCTTGGGTTTGGGTGTTTGTCTTGGTTTTGTTTTTGATGTGGGAAGAAGGTGCTTTATTATGATTTAGTAAAAAAAAAACAAACAAAAAGGGAACATGATGATACAGATGAAACCTGAAGTATAAATTCCATGAATATGTGCCACAGAACATAAAAAGCGACTTGATGCTTTGGGATGGAACGTGAGGCTTTGCTTTCACTGTGGTAACTTCTGTGCTTTGGAATACCTTCCCTCTGTTGGTAACTGGAAGTTCAGTGGACTTTATTCCAGTCCAGCATGATTGTCCTTCAGGGCAGACTTGCAGAGCACGTGCAGATGAGAGGTGCAGTAATGGCTCCAAGCCAATGTGATGATGAATAATCCCAGAACTCAAGATGGGGATTAGGACTGTGCCTGGGTTCTGGGCTGAGGCTCCATGTCTTTAGCTGTGAGCTCTTTACCTTGGCCCCAAAGGTAAAGAGCAGAGCAGTGGGAGAAATGACACATCAGCTCCTGGAGAGCAGCATTGGGTACAAGCAGCTTTTTAAGATGGGCTTCCCAGCATTTCTAAGCACTCCATTCCACTCCTGTTTAAGTGACTCTGGAGGAAAAGCAGATAGTAATTTGTGTTTTGTTTTTCCCACTTCCTGAACAGGAACAAATAATCAGTCTTGTCAATCAAATCTGTGGAAAAGTATCTGGTAAAAATGGCAGCATTGAGAACTGTATCAGCAAGCCTACACCAAAAAGAGGACCTCGTAAGAGAGCGACAGTGGACGTGCCATCATCTAGGCTTTCATCCTCCAGTTCATCCAAAAGTGCTTCAAGTTAATCCTGAAGATGCCAACACTCTCATTTTGTCAATTTATATATATTTTTTGTAATTATTATACCATAGTTTGGAGTACTTGCTGTAGAATACAAGCTGTCTTTGCACTAGCTCTAAAGAAGATTTTCTTCTGGTTTTAGAGAACTAATTTTGTTTTAGCATTAAACTGTTGAAATTTTTTTTTGTACTTAGAATAGATAGATACAGCAGTCTGATTTTTTTAAACTGCCGTATGTTCACTGTTTTAAAACCGGCAAGGGGCTGATAAAATATGAATTTGTATTGTCCCTATGGCTGAAAAAAATAAAAAGCCTTTTTGGTAACTGTGAAAAAAGGCTTTTAACCCATTTTTTGAATAGGTTAAAGTTTGATGTGTTTTATAATTTGTTCTCCGGTCATGTGAGCAGATTTTTCTAGAGAGAAAAGGGATAGGAGACAAAAACTTGAAAGAAATTGCTTTACTTTGGCTGTCTTTTATTCTGTCACAGCAAGATGAGTTTTGTAATTTTTTAAATTGGAGAATACACACTTTCTTTGGGAGGTTATGGCAGCTGAAGATGGACTTTGTTTCCTAACTGTAGGCAAAAGGAGGAGATTTGGAGTATGTTCTCTTTTACCAGCACATCACTATGCATCTGTTTTGAGGGGGAAAAATAAAATAAAATAAAATAAAAAAAAATTTTAAAATTTTAAAAAAATTAAAAAAAGGAGGAAAAAAGACTGCCTGCCTTGAGGAGTTATGTGAGGGAAAACTGTGCCTGATTTCATTAGGAAATCCATTCTGTTATTTTTTGGTGCTGTTGGCTACTTTATCAAAAACCCTTCAATAGCATCCTTTAAAAAAAAAAAGATAAAAAAAGAAAAAAGTGATTGAAGCCATAAGTGCTTCTTTTGTCATAGACGTGCAATCTTTCTAACATTCCATTTCCATTCCACTGCTGTTTTTCACACCTTTACACAGTCAAGCATTAATTTTGTTTTGAATTTGTTTCATTATATGATCACATTTAGAGCCACTAGCAAGTCTGCGTATTTCTTTTGAATGTGAAAATGCATTTGCTTTCATCTTGTCTATTTTTTCTCTTCATGTTGTAACAAAAAAAAAAAATCACACCTTTTGTACATATGCCTGTAAATTTTTTTAAATACTTGAGCCTTTTCTTGGGGTGGGGGGAGGGATGGCAGAGAGACAAGATGAAGAAAAGCCTTACGTTTCACTTTCTTCATCGGTTGGATTGGATGCTTACAGGGTTTTTCTTGTAACATTTATAAGTGCTGCTTACATCACTGAACAACAACAAAAAATAATAATGGAGTAGCTGTTGCCCTTTTCTGGTTGTGTGTACAGTATGTGTGGAATAAAAAAGGGAAAATGTTTTCACAAACTGTTTTGTTTCGTAATTGAATTCAACAATACCGTAGCTACCCATATTGCACTGAGCTTGCCAGTGGTGACTGTCAGGAAAGTCCTATAATACAATTTGTTGATTGTTGTTGCAGAAGACTGAACTGTTTTGGAATATTTAACAATAACATAAACAGAGTCAAGTGTTTTCAAATGTGGTTGTCTGGTTTTTATGGCCTTGCTGTGTACTTTTCCCTCTTGACAGTAAACTTCTGACTATGGCTTACAGTTTGACATTTAATTTATTAGCGCTGCTCTGCTCTCTTTCCTTGTAAGGAAAGACTTCATGTTGTTTATTGCCAGTTTTTTGTTTACTTTCCAGGTTTGTACTACGAGGTTTAATAAAAAAAACAAAACTTTTTTGGACATTTTGTCTGTCTTCTGGAAAGCGAGAGAGTAAAGGAAGCTCCTTCAAGATAAATTTCTTTCAACAGCTGCCTTGTTGAATAGTAAATCTCTTAATTGTAGGTAGGGAGCTTCCAACCTTCATTTCCCAGGCAGGGATCAGGAAACACTTTGTCAGCTACCAGGAGAATCCTTAAGGAAACTGGCCACTGCCCAGCTGGCAGGCAGGAAGGAGATACCCCCCCTTGCCAGCCATTGGCTTTGTCAGGGCAGGTCTTTGGAAGGGATCTACATCACAGCTCATCCTTTTACTTACACTGTTTCTGATTATATTCCTTCCCTCTGTGCAGGAAGAGCAGGAGCCAGGAGCCTTCTCAAAGGAGAGCAGATCCCTGAAAATAGAGCATGAGACTTGACAAGCAACAGGTGTTAGAGACATGGTCAGACCTCAACTTCAGAGAGAAAAACAACTGCATAAAAAACGGGAATGAGATGACGCCTATAGGTCTTGAGGTTCTAAAATACACACACTTAATTAACAATTAACTCAGGTTTATCTCCCTAGTGTAGTCAAACAGATGTTGCCACGGAAAAGCACATTACATTGGTGCTCCTAATAACCATTTTTTATCCTGAGTTAGGCTCCTCTGTTCACTTGTCATGGAGAAAATACCTGTGTAATCAAGTAAAAGACATGGTTGGGATAGAAATTCTTTATTTTATCTTGAAAGAGGAGTAAGTACACAATGCTAAGATACCTGCTTCACAAGGAGTGCAACATTTCCATATGCATCTCTCCTCCTTCTTGGATTCTTATTTTTTCCTTAACACCTATAACTAAGTTGGTCCTGAATAAGAAGTGTGAGAACAGTAGACACTGCTGCATTAGTAGACAAAGGCAGGAGGCAGACAGTAGGTAGTAAAGAGTAGAAAATAAATTTTCATTTTGGTTTGGATCCTAAATCTTCAGTTGCAGCAGCTGAAAACATGCAAGGAACAATTTGGGTTCAGTTTTACACATCAACTCTTAAGTACTTCCAATCAGCCATTTAAAGGTTAGTGGTCAAAGTAACTTCCACCTTTCCCCTTAAATTCTCTTATACATAGTATATACAACAGTTTTACTGCTCCCCTGAGCCCCAAGACTACTGTTAAAGTGTGTGTGCTTTAGGCATATTTTTTTCTTTAAAAACCAACCTCCACATGACTGGCAATTTTGTAAAAAGGCAGTATTACTAAGTAAAAAGATCTGGCTGTTACGCTTGGTTAGCAAATCGTTACACAGGCAAGCTCTTCATTCACTTGTTCATTCATTCAGAAGTCATTCTCAAAGGATATGGTTTTAAGATTCAAACAGTCTGAGAGTCACTTTCATCACTGCCATCTGAAGCACCCTTTCTCTCAGTTACAGCAGCAAGGGCAGTGTCCACTTGAACCTCCTCTTCGTCCGACTGGACCACGGGGGACTCTCCCTCGCTGGCGTCCTGGCTGGCCGAGTCGGTGCAGGTGGAGGACAGGGAACAGAGCTTCTGCCGCAACTCCGACTGGCTCGGCACCTGCAGGCTGATCTCGCTCACGTAGCTGTTGGAGTCGGGCCCTGAGAGGCGGGAAAACAACAACAGCAACAGTCAAGCTCTGGCTCAGCAAGGGGACTGAGAAACCTGCACACTGCATCAGCTCAGCGCTGCTTAAGGAGTCACTTTCAGGCTGTTTTCATTCTTTCCCAAGTCACCAAGAGGAAAACCCCCCAATAAACTCAGTGTAACAGAACTACACAAACTGGAAATTAAAAACCAAACAAACAACTGGGAAGCAGGCAAAAACAGCCATCACCAGTTTTGACTAAAAATGAAGATGCAAAAGCAAATCAAATTTAATTCAGCATGAAAGCAATCATTTGGTAGAGCTATACCACAGCTCAAGTGCACAGGAGTGGCAGACTCTGTTTTAAGACTCTGCCTCCTCCATATCCCGTGCAAAAAAGACTTGTGACACAGTGCAACAGTGTTTGCTTGCAGTTTAAGAGTTCAGGTTTCAAAATTGGATTCTCTTTCCTGGACAGTTCTGGAAAGCAAAAAAGTAAAAATGAGGAAACATATAAACACTTTCTATGTGATCTGCCAAATAAAGCCCTTTTTTCCTTCTCTCCTATACCTAACAAATGTTTCTCCATAGTCAGAGCACCCAGCTTCAGCTGATGAGTAACTTTAGTGAGAAAATTCTCTTAAAAATTTTATTCAGAAGTTTTTCAGAAGGGTCAGATGGATATGAGCTACCCCTTACCTCTGCTCAGACTGTTTGCATAGCAGTTCAAACCACACTGTCTCTGTCTGCTCCCAAGTACCTGAGTTATATTTTAACACTAGAAATTTTAGAGAACCTGCCTTGTGTGGTATACACCAGCATGCATTAAATCAATTTAGACAACACAGAGAGAAGGAGTTTTCAGGAGTGAGAGAGCTAACTCAATTTTGCAGTTTAACTTACTGTCATGAAATGTTGTGAAGGCAATGTCCATAAGCTGGCAATGTTTATAGCAAGGCAGATTTGAAAACATTTCAATGTCTTGAGCTGATTCTCATTTTTACCAGTTATTTTAATAACTTACCTGTATTTTGTGGTGTTCAGGCCAATTGTCAAACAAACCTTGCACTGACAACTCAATTCTCCACTGACAGCAAAATAAAGAGTTAACAATCTCATTTTTCTGAGAATGAAGACTATTGCATATTTGGTTTGATACTGGGGTGCCAGGTTCTTAAACAAGCACAAAAATCCCTTAATCAGAGGGAAATAAAATGTCTGGAACCACAAGAGTGAGATTTACGAGACTTACACTGCAGTAAGGTCGCAGTGTTGGAACATTATTACAGCACAGGTACATTATATTGCAATGTATGTCCATGTATAGACACTATAATTATATGCTGTAATATTCAGATTACAGCATAAAATACAGAATTTTTTTTTTCAAAAGCTAATGCATTTATCTACTTAGTTAAAAAAGTAGTTTCTGCCCTTCCTTAGATAATCCAGCTGAGACTGTTTGCTGTTAAGACCTGAAGCTTCTTGGTCCAATATCTGCCAAACAGCCAGCAAGGGGAAAACAGTCCTAGATTCTGCAATTACTGGCAAGCTCAAATGATGATCAGCTTTAATAATGCATGAAGTGGATGCCTATCCAAAACCACCCATCTCAATTCAGTTTTTGCAATGAAGCACAAAAACCTAAACTTTTAGCAGTCAAGTGTGCCTTGACCATTCACCACAAGCTTTTCACATTCACAGCAGGTGTTAATCACCTTTACATAGGGAGTACTGTAAGCACTTCCATAAAGATATTTCAATCTGTATTTTCAGAAAATACCAAAAGGACGTTTAAAGGAGCTTCATCTCCTCTCCCACAAGAAAAATCATTTCGGCTCTTTTGAGGAAAGGCATTTTAGGACTTAAGCTTTTAACCAGGAAAACACTTCTATGGTAGGTAAAAGATCCAGTACTGAGACACTAATTCTCAGTATATGTGTAAACTGCTGGGTTGAATCTTGTCTCTCAGTATCTCTCACAGAAGATCTTGCATTACACAACTGGTCCATGTTTGACAATCAACATTATGGACAAACTCTAAGAAATTAGAGTTAGACAAAGTATTGAAAGCCTAATTACTGCAAGCTTACTGTTGATGTTTGTCAAAATGTCCTCTATTAACTCTATATTGGGAAAAATGCCCCTCAAGCCAGTATGTAACACATCACCTATCCAGACTGTGATGAATACAACAGGGAGCTGCAGTAAGAAAAATGAGATTGCCTGGAAATATCACACAGTTTTGCAGCAACTCCCTTGTACAGCAACTAAATGTTAATGTTTTGATAAGCACTAATGAATAACAGTCAATCTGCATCAAGTGTGATGTTTGATGAGATAACACCACCCATCACAAAAGGGAGCAGTTCTGGTGGTTTATCACTGTCTCTAAGCAGGCTGTCACTACAGGCACCATACCCAGCATGGGAGACAGCACATTATTGTCTTCGCTTCCTGAGTTCAAAAAGACGTCGAGTGCTTCCTGGTCAGACATGTCCATCAGGTCCATCTGCTCCAGCATGTCCACATTCACCTCCATGGAAGACATACTTCCAATGGGTTCTGCAGGAGAAACAGCACATGAGTGAACTGACCATCAGCAACACGAGGTTATTACATACCAAGGCTCCAGAGGCTGCTACAATTGTCTGCAGCAGCAATAATTAAACTTAGGAATGGAAGGAGCCTGCCCACAGGAGCTGCTCAGCAGCCACCTCAACCCAAATCCAAGAGCCCTCCGTGCAATCTTTGTTGTGAAACTAACATCCATTACTGCTTCTGAAAAACCAAAACATTTTTAGCAGCAGTATTTATAGCAATAACCTTCTCAGAAATAAGCTGAGATGGGATTCAGGCACAAGGAATGAAACTTTCCATTTTGGAACACTCCTTTTCAATTTTCTCAACCAGAAGTCTTTTTAGAGAAAAGCAAACACATTTAAGGACACAGTCACTAAATGTCAATATACAAGAGACATAGAAATTCAGAAACCAGGATTAATGTTAACAGAGAGCAGCTCTTCTTTCAGATAGTCTAAGAAATTACAGTAGTCTGTAAAACCCAGGCTCATGCCCAGTATTCTCCCTCAGCATGGGTATCTCACATTACTAATTACTCAAGCAAATTACTTATTACTGTCAGTACAGTACTGACAATTTGTAAGGGAAGTAAATACTTGGATGAGCATCTTCTTGCTTGAAGAGCTAAACATGCAAAGAGAAAACAAGCAAGTTCAGGGCCATTCAGACTTAAGTCCACCTGCTGCATTGTATAAAATTATTTAAATGAACAGTTTACTTGTTTATCTAAAAGTAACAATTACATTATTGAAAGCCTTCATAGGTGAACTGAGAATAAATTCTGTAATTTGATTGGGGGATTTTTTTTTTCAAATATGCTACAGCTCTGCAGTTTTACATGTACTGCAGGTCCAAGTCTTTCATTAAAACAGTTTCTTTGATACACCCGGGCTCCCCATTATCCTAAAAAGCTGAAGTTCCAAATGTTAGGCAGCCTAACACTCAAACAGAGCTGTGTGTCCAGTACCAGCCCATGACAATGTGCACTTTTAGTCTAAAAGGTGACCTATTACAGAAAGCAGGGGACTCAAGCTCAGTTCCTCCCCTGACCATGAATTTAGATTTACATATCCCACCTCTCCTTAGCCACCCATGCAGAGCATCTTGCAGATGAGTATTTATAGCAGTCATGAAGAGAAATAGAAACCTTGGATTGTACTCCCCACTCTGACATTACAAATGACAGCAGAACTGCTCTTGGAGCAGGGACAGAATATCTACATTTTTCCTGCCACATGAATACCTAATTTCCCACCGGCTTCCTTACCAGTCCAACAATCTCTGCATTTTGGCCTAACAGATGGAAACCTCCCACACAGAATTCCCTGTAATCTCTGGCATTCTTGTGCTTTAACCAGTCCAGAGATGCCAGACTTGTGTCATTTCATAATAAGGAAAGCACTTAATGTGACCTCCTGTGTCCTAATCACATCCAGTGGGAATAGCTGTCACCTGGGAACTGCTTAGAAATGCTACACTGAACTTTTCCCTGCAGTTTGCAAAATTTTCTGAGGCATCTCCTTGCCAAATGACAATCCCAGGCTTTGGAACTCCAGTGGACAAAGCAGCTGCCTCCATCCATATTTTTACATAGATGCACTCTTCAGCTGCAGAGAAAAACACTGTTCCAGATGCAGTTCTGTGCTCTGCATCTCCTCAGACAAGGAGCAGAGCCTGACTAATCTTCTAAGGTATCCAGTACCCCTGGGACACCATGTCTGTTCAAAAGGCTTATCTGAAGTTCCAGTTCTACCGAGGAAGAATTTGGACATTTTTGCTGTGCTTCCTCTGCAAGCACTGCTGGCTCTGCCCGCTCAACAATGATCTCCAAGCTGGGGGGTTTGTACAAAAGGTTTTTACAACTTGCCTCTCCTCTCTGCTATCTGCAAGTATCCTGTGGAAAGGTATTGCTCCATGTCCTGCTGGAAGGCTTCTTCAAAGAACTTCTGGCGCTCCTTCAGCTTCATCTGCTGGGTGTGCTCCATGTCCAAAACCTTCTGTGCATGTTCAGCATCGAGTTCAGCTGAGCATAAAACAAACAGACAAATGAAATATTGCAGGTGCACACCTCCCACTCTCAGAATTTAAAACCTACAGAACCAGTTCAATAAATTCTGACAGGCTGTTACTGCACTACAAGGAGCTTTCTGTGCTTTGCAGCTGTATTTTAAACCAGGATGGGAATCCCATATTAGGCAGCATAACCTTCACATTAAAGTGATGTCAGAACCATTTATCTCAAGGCAAGATGCAAATTTCCAGAGCTGTATAAACAGGAACACCTGAGAGCAGTGTCCATCAACAACAGGGATTTCAGAGTCCTGCAACAAAAACCTGAGGCAATGATGCTTCTGCAGTCATATGCACCTAATGCACACAAAAGCAACACTTTTCATTTGAATATTGCTGTACATTTCCACCACAATGCAGGTGGCAAGATACATATACGTACATACATATAAATACACATACATAACATATATGTTTATGTGCATGTATGCCTGAGATTCTGGCTTTGCCAGCCTCCAGACAGAATGGAAAAATTCCATGAAGAATCCTACATGTACGAGCAGCAAAGGAAATATTACACAGAATTAGGAAATATTAGATAGAATATCATCAAAGGAATTCCTTCCCCTCTGTTTTGCTCCACATTGGACAGAGGGGGAAAGAATTGTGCTGTTTATTGCAGAATAACATCTTCTAGAATAAAAATATGTAATTGCTATTCAAGCACTGACTGCAGCCAGACTGTTAGAACAGGCTTCAGAAAAATTGGTAATATATAACCTGGAACCCTTTTCCCAGAGCTCTCTGTTCACTTTTCTGGCATCATGAGTGCTCTGCTTACAACAGAAAAGGAATTTTCCAGCTGAGCTACTGATGGAAGGGACGAGGGTGGCGAGAAGAGCTGCTGGTCTGTTCCGTTCTGCCCATTAGGGAAAGCTCCAACAAATACCACTGGGTGAAAAATATTCAAGCTTTCACATGCCAGATAGACACAGCTGGAATATGGCATCCACATGGATAAATACTGAGGGCACACGAGGTTTTCTAGGACAAGCATTGTGCCAGTCTTCCAGGAAAAATGTTATGTTAATGATATTCTACAACACAGACACTCATTAAAAGCATTTACTAATATGGAGATTATTGCCCAAATGCAGAACATGTTTTATTAAACCAGGCAAAACATCAGAGAGCAGTTAATTCACTCTGTTGCCTGCATCAAGGTCACAGTTCATACACAGAAGCAACTGAACTGTGGCTGATGCCAAAAGAAGCCAGGAAACTGGACTGACACACCAGATATTCATTAAAACATCAGTAAATAAGCAGAAATCTCTTTCTTAAAGGAGATTTCAGAAGCAAAAACATCAGTGTATAAAAGGAATGCATTTTCCCTGAAGGCAACATGTCTTTATTATCAATTACACTGTGGTGTACGATGACTCTGTGTCCCCTGGAGCAACTCCTTTACTGCAGTCCTGGATGATGAGCAATTATTAATAACATTGTCTATGATGCAGAAATGCTATTCAATTGTAATAATAAAAGCCAGAGGCTCTCACAGACAATGGGAATTTTCTGTCTCTCTCATAATATAGTCTGACAGTTTTGCACTCTAGATTGGTAATTCAGGATATTTTTAACCCCAAAACAGAGATGGCATCTAAGTGAGACTTGATACAATCTCTTTGTTGACATTGAGCTCTTTGTTTTTAAATTTTGCCTAAAATGTCCTGTAAACTGTTGAAATTGTCACTGGCCAGAGCTGAATGGCAACAGCTGCCTGCTGTGCTGGCATGTTCCACAGGAAACTGTAAACACATGAGCTGCAGAGCTGTCACAGACTTGCTCTCCGTAGTCAGATAGAGAGTTAACATCTAGAACCTTGCTGCACGATTTCACGCCCTGCCAGGTGTAGTAAGAGGTGCTTGGCTAAGCAAAACCAAACTGCTGCATCTGGGTTTCTGTTTGTTGTCAGAAATGCTAAGGATGAGAGGTGAAGCCAACCATCAAACATGAAACCAAAGAAAACAGGTGCATTGTTTCTCTCACAGAGCTACTCAGAATTACGTTTTCCCTAAGCCAAGTGTAGTTTATAAAACACTGAAAAGAGACAGAACCAAAGGAGCTCCAAAAAAGACAAGAGTATCATCCATATGCCATCATACACTGCTCATATGAATTCCTCCCAGGATGGAAACTGAGACTTGGCACACTTAAAACATTATTGTATTTTTCCTTTCACCCTAAAACTGTACTTTTCAATTGGCAATGGCACCTATTTCTCTATCACACTGCGCACAGAAAAGAAAAAAAGACAGACTACGGAAAAGGCTAATGCACAATTAGATGCAGACATACAGGAGTTGCCACAATAACCCAAATAAAAGATGACTAATTCCCCACCAGCTATGACTTTTAAGAGAACAGACACTAAAAGTAGGCAATTTTTTTCCTAAAATAGCGAACATTTGAGTGCTGAGGCACAGCCTTCTGCACCACACCCAGGAACAGCCCCACAGCTCACTCTGCTTGCCTCAGGGTACAGCCCACAGCCTGACTCCCCTGCCCCACATCTTCAGAACCAGATACCAGGAGAATCCAAACTCCAAAGGAACACATGACAATAGCTTGTAGCCATACAGCTCAAGTGTAGAGGACACCATTTCCTGGTATCACTTCTAGGCCTGGCTGACACTCTACAAATTGAAATTCTGCTGCAGTACCGGAAGTATCTATGTAACCAACAAAATGACCATTTAATATTTTAATCTAAAACATTTTCCAGCTATGCACAACAGATTTCCCAAATAAGCTGGAAGAATGACTAAAAAAATAATTAAAATTTTAAAAAATCAGCAACTGACAACACTGGATGTTTACATGGCTAGCACATCCCTTAGACCAACATGAAAGATGTCAAGTTGTCCAAATGGATTGCTTTTTAGTGCTTTCATACACAACCAGTTTACTTCCCTTCAATCAATTTATTATGTAACTTTACATCTCATGTGATGTAGAACCCATAAATGCATCTGGTCTAAAGAGAGAAAGACACACAAAAAAATGCCCATTTTTCCTCCCTCTGCAGTTCATTTGCTTCTTGCAGACTCATCCAACCAGACCATAACATGCATGCACACATTCTTTGTGGGCTTTTTTTGCTTTTGCTACAGCTATCAAACCTTCAGTGAAGCAGCCCTTCACTGAACTCACTGCTGTTTTTGATGTTCCTCCTATGCTAGGAGAGCTTGAAACTGGCCATGGCATGGAGACACGCTGGGTGGAGGATAATCCCTTCCCTTGAACTCCTGGCCCCGTTCCCGTTCACACGGCGCTGTGTCCCTCCCTGCTGCCAGATGTGCTGCAGGCTGGCACCCGGCTCGCTGCCCATGGAACCCCCAGGAGCCAGGATCATCTCTATGCCCAGTGCCAGAGCCTTCCATCTCCTCCTCTGGGACAGAGTTCTGGCTTCTGGTCCACCCCCAGGTAGGGAATGACCCCCAAAGCACCAGGCTCCCACCCAGCTGGTCGTTTGTCCACCCTGCTGTGCGTCCATGCAGGCTGGAACATCATCACTCGGCTGCGGGAGCACCGTGTGAGATTGTCACAGCCCATCAGCAGGCTGGCCACTCACTGAACAACCAAAATCCTTCAAAAATCAGAACAGTAAAATCATGAAAGCAGACGATGGAAGGCAGACAGCCAAGCAGCTTTCTGAGCGCATTATGACTTAGCAACCTCTACTGCAAACTGCCTCGTTACAGACCCCTTCAACTAAAAATATCAAAGGAAGACAAGACAACAGGGAGGGCTTCAAAGGAGGCAGTTTCCCTCAAAAATGTTTAAATTATTCTTGACAGAATTTAGAATACATGTTGATGCTGTAAGGGAGGATGTGCAGAGCACTCTTGCAATATAGTCTGCTGACAGGTGGGGAGAGCTGGCAAAATTCGGGGAAAAAAAAGTAGAATAAGAGATCTAGGTGCACAGTCTTTCTTCCACAGAAGAGTGAAAGGAAAACAAGTGAAAACTACAAGTCCTAGGTGTTTTTAAACTCTTATTTAACAGTCTCTTTACAAAGAAATTTGGCTTTACCAAAGATATAGTCAAATAATTACAATTTAAAAAATTAAGTCCTGGTTCACTAGAATGTGAAGTCAGGATTTCACTCCATGACAGAACGATCATCTGTGTTTGAAAAAAACCCACTGTTCCAAATGAGATTTACTGTCTGCCAACTATCAAAAGCCTGCACATTCATGAAGAAATGTTTTACTAAAATTATCCAAAAAAATCAGTCATTAAAAACGACTGTATATACTGCTTGATAATACCTAACTAGGGTTTTTACAGATTGCATCAGAATATGAAAACTCTAGTCAAGAAGAAAAGCAGAGGTTTAACCAGTGCAGAGAGATCATCTTTAACATTTCCCAGCAAGCAGTTTCAACAAGTTGGCTTACCTGAAAAATTCCCTTTAAGCAAAGAAAAAAAAAAAAAAAAGCTTGCTTGAAATCCTTGGTATATAAAGGATAGGCCTAAATATATATCAGAACAAACCACAGAAAATAGGTGCTTGTGTACAGCAGGATTCCAGTTACTAATGTAGCACCTGGAGGAAGAGGCAGCTTCCAACCGATGTGACAGGAAACAGCTTGGGAAAAGGTTTTTACAGAACTCCAACCTTTATCTGGCTACCAGGGAATCATCATAGTTAAGACACACTAAAAATATGCTCCACCAAAGAGCAAATGCACAAACTGAGTCCTAAAAATGTAAATTCATCTAGGATTAAAAAAAAAAATAATTAAATCACATTTGTGATTAAAAATATGCCAGGCTGAGGGGACTGCTCTGCAAGGTGACCCACTCCATAATGGAATCTCCTCTTAGAACTAGATTTGCTGTGGTTCATAAATTTTTGCTCAGTTCATTTGTCATTAAAAATATCCCAAAACTTGAGTGCATTTGCCTATTTCTTAATTTTTAAAAAAATTAGGAGCAGACAAT